TCACAAAGCCAGTAAACTTCAGGTATCCCAACCGGGATCTTGACCACGAAGCCAGAAAGCTTGAGGTACCCCAGCCGGGATCTTGACAAAACTGAGGTACCCCAACCGGGATCTTGACCGAGGATCTTGATTAGGACGCCGCAAAACTTGAGATATCATCCCAACCGGCATCTTGACCACGAAGCCACGATCCCAACCAGCATCTTGGCAACGAAGCCACAAAACTTGAGGTACCCCAACCAGCATCTTGAAAACGAAGCCAGAAAACTTGGCCGGAATTATTTGAGGATTTTTTTTGTTTTCTTTGGGGAATTTTTTTTGTTTTTGGCTTTTGCTCGGGAAGGGGGGGGCAGGGAGTACTAGTACAAGTACTAGTACTGGTACTAGGGTGCGCCCCCGACGTTTGCCCACACTTTCGTGTGGCAAACTGTCGGGGGACACGGCCTGGTGCAGTTAATCGTTGTTTGCTGCTTCGGGAAACTAAGTCACGGAACTGCTGAGTTCTGAAGATGGAAGTGGACGAAATGCTGGCAGGGTCAGCAAACGCGCTGGTTGCACTTTTGCGTTTTCACGGGAGATGGATGCCATGCGGGAACGGATGGAGTCTGAGTGGACGTTATCATGCTTGGCCCATTCGATGCTATGCGGGAACGGATGGAGTCTGGGTGGACGTTATCATGGTTGGCCCATTGGATGCTATGCGGGAACGGATGGAGTCTGGGTGGACGATATCATGGTTGGCCAATCGGATGCTATGCGGGAACGGATGGAGTCTGAGTAGACGTTATCATGGTTGGCCCATTGGATGCTATGCGGGAACGGATGGAGTCTGAGTGGACGTTATCATGGTTAGCTCATTGGATGCTATGCGGGAACGGATGGAGTCTGAGTGGACGTTATCATGGTTGGCCCATTGGATGCTATGCGGGAACGGATGGAGTCTGGGTGGACGATATCACGGTTGGCCAATCGGATGCTATGCGGGAACGGATGGAGTCTGAGTAGACGTTATCATGGTTGGCCCATTGGATGCTATGCGGGAACGGATGGAGTCTGAGTGGACGTCATCATGGTTGGCCCATTGGATGCTATGCGGGAACGGATGGAGTCTGAGTGGACGTTATCATGGTTGGCCCATTGGATGCTATGCGGGAACGGATGGAGTCTGCGTGGACGTTACCATGGTTGGCCCCTGGGCTGCTTGCAACGCGTGCGAGAACGCCTTGATGGTGGGAAGAAAAGCGGGAACCAACATCTGCAGACATGTGCAACCACTGCAAGACATGTGCAAGAAGGAGCGTGGAAGCTCAAGATGAAGAAGGGCAAGGACAAGGCCGGGAGGGTTTATCATCAACCAATATGGGTTTCCAAGTCGTGGGGTCTCAAGCTGCAGAAGCGCAACGACAAGGCCGGGAGGGTTTATCCTCAACTAGTATGGGTTTCGAGGCAAGGACAAGGCCGGGAGGGTTTATACTCAACCAGTATGGGTTTCCGAGGCGCGGAAGCTCACAAGTCGAAGAAGACAGAGGCAACGGCAAGGCCGGGAGAGCTTATCCTCAACCGATGTGGGTTTCCGGGGTGTGGAAGCTCCAGCCGAAGAAGACAGAGGCAGGGACAAGGCGGGAAGGCTTATCCTCAACCGGTATGGGGTTCCGAGGTGTGGGAGCTCAAGCCGAAGAAGACAGCGGCAAGGACAATCCAGGGTATGGAAGCTTGAGCCTCAACCAATGTGGGTTGCCGAGGTGTGTGGTCTCAGCGACAAGGCTGAGAGGGCTTATCCGGAGAGCTTTTCCTCAAACAAAACAGGAACCTGAAGGTATGCAGTTCAGGAGCTAGCCGACCTTCCCCCTCCCCCTCCCTCCCCCTCCCATGCCCTATTGACGGCCTTTTCCGCCCCTTCCACAGTTGGCAGGGTGGCACGAATTCTCAGGGAAGGTAGATGGGGTGCGGGGTCTTCCTCCCCTCAACTAAAATGGGGCGTTGGTTCCCGCCCCTCCCGCCCCCCTCCCCCACCCTCCCCCCCTCCCTCCCCCTCCCCACCCGGTGCCTCCTCCGGAGGGTGGCACGAGTCTCACGGGGGGTAGTGGGCAGACACCAAAAAACAATCCTCAACTAAAATGGGGTGTGGGGTTCCCCCCGCACCCCTCCCCACCCCCCCCCCCCTCCCTCCCCCCCCCCACCCGGTGCCCCCTCCGGAGGTCCCCCCCTTCCCTCCATCCGCTCTGCCCCTCCCACCCCCTTCCCACCCCCCTCCCCTCCCAACCCGCTCACTTAGACCGCAACAGCGTGGAGTGCCAGGTGCGTATCCTCAAGAAGAAGAAGGCCGGGAGCGGGAACGAAGCCGTGCAGGCTCGCCTGCATGGTGTCCCAGGTACGTGGTCCCAACCCCAAAGTGAGGAGGTGAGCGCTGATTATCCTCAACCAATGTGGGGTTCCAGGTGCGTGGTCTCAGTCGAAGAAGGCGGAGGCAGGGACGAGGCCGGAGCACTCATCCTCAACCAATATGGGGTCCCAGGTGCGTGGTCTCAGCCCGAAGAAGGCGACGAGGCGGAGCGCTTATCCTCAACCAATATGTTCCAGGCGCGTGCTCGGAGGCGGGAGCGCTTATCCTCAACCAATATGGGGTCCCAGGTGCGTGCTCTCGCGGACCAGGCCGGCGCAATATGGGGTTCCAGGCGCGTGGTCTCAGCCCGAAGAAGGCGGAGGCGGGGACGAGGCCGGAGCTGGGGTTCCAGGTGCGTGCTCGGCAGGGACGAGGCCGGAGCGCTTATCCTCAACCAATATGGGGTCCCAGGTGCGAAAGCGGAGGCGGGGACGAGGCCGGAGCGCTTATCCTCGACCGACGTGGAATCCCAGGTACGCGATCTCGGCCCGAAGAAGGTGAAGGTGGGGACGAGGGCGGAGCACTTATCCTCAACCGATATGGGGTCCTAGGTGCGTGCCCTACCGCAGCGTGCAACAGTGCCAGGTGCTTGAAGCCAGAAGAAGGCGAGCTTCAAGAGGAGGCGACAACAAGCTCGAAGGACTTACTCTCAGAATACGTTCTCGGCGCGTGGTCTCAACCTGAAGAAGACAGAGGCGGCGACAAGGCCGGATCGCCTATCCTCAAATGTCATGGGTTCCCAGGTTCGTGGTCTGGAGAGAACAGAAGCCGAGACCAGGCCGGAGTGCCTATCCTCAATCAATATGGGGTCCCAGGTGCGCGGTCTCAACTTGAAGAGGATGGAGGCGGGAACCAGGCCGGAGCACTTCTCCTCAACCAACATCGGGTCCGAGGTGCGTGGTCTCAACTCGAACAGGACGGAGGCGAGGAGAGGCCGGAGTGCCTATCCTCAACCAAGATAGGCTCCCAGGTGCATGGTTTCATCTTGGAGAAAAGAGAAAGGACGAGGCCTCAACCAATATGAGGTCCGAGGTGCGTGACCCCAGCAAAAAGACGACGGAGGCAAGGACAAGGCCGGGGTTCGAAGTGCGTGGCCACAGGAAGCTCAAGCTGAAGAAGACAGAGGCAAGAACGAGGCCGGGAGGGCTTATCCTCAACCAATATAAGTTTCCGAGGCGTGGAAGCTCAAGATGAAGAAGGGCAAGGACAAGGCCGGGAGGGTTTATCATCAACCAATATGGGTTTCCAAGACGTGGGGTCTCAAGCTGCAGAAACGCAATGACAAGGCCGGGAGGGTTTATCCTCAACTAGTATGGGTTTCCGAGGTGTGGAAGCTCACAAGTCGAAGAAGACAGAGGCAAGGACAAGGCCGGGAGGGTTTATACTCAACCAGTATGGGTTTCCGAGGTGCGGAAGCTCACAAGTAGAAGAAGACAGAGGCAACGGCAAGGCCGGGAGAGCTTATCCTCAACCGATGTGGGTTTCCGAGGTGCGGAAGCTCACAAGTCGAAGAAGACAGAGGCAACGGCAAGGCCGGGAGAGATTATCCTCAACCGATGTGGGTTTCCGGGGTGTGGAAGCTCCAGCCGAAGAAGACAGAGGCAGGGACAAGGCGGGAAGGCTTATCCTCAACCGGTATGGGGTTCCGAGGGGTGGGAGCTCAAGCCGAAGAAGACAGAGGCAAGGACAATCCAGGGTATGGAAGCTTGAGCCTCAACCAATGTGGGTTGCCGAGGTGTGTGGTCTCAGCGACAAGGCTGAGAGGGCTTATCCGGAGAGCTTTTCCTCAAACAAAACAGGAACCTGAAGGTATGCAGTTCAGGAGCTAGCCGACCTTCCCCCTCCCCCTCCCTCTCCCTCCCATGCCCTATTGACGGCCTCCCTTCCAGAGGTGGCAGGGTGGCACGAATTCTCAGGGAAGGTAGTGGCAGAAATCAATGGGGTGCGGGGTCTCCCCCCCGGCCCCCCCTCCCCCGCCCCCCCCCCCCCCCTTACTGGGCCGGGAGGGTAGTGGGCAGACACCAAAAAAAAATCCTCAACTAAAATGGGGCGTTGGTTCCCGCCCCTCCCCGCCCCCCTCCCCCACCCTCCCCCCGTCCCTCCCCCTCCCCACCCGGTGCCTCCTCCGGAGGGTGGCACGAGTCTCACGGGGGGTAGTGGGCAGACACCAAAAAACAATCCTCAACTAAAATGGGGTGTGGGGCTGCCCCGCACCCCTCCCACCCTCCCCCCCCTCCCTCCCCCCCCCCACCCGGTGCCCCCTCCGCAAGGTCCCCCCCCTCCCTCCCCCCCTTCCCTCCCCCGCTCCCTTCCCTCCCCCGAACCCCGCACCGCTCCCCACCCTCCTCCCCTCCCAAACCCGCTCACTTAGACCGCAACCAGCGTGGAGTGCCAGGTGCGTATCCTCAAGAAGAAGAAGGCCGGGAGCGGGAACGAAGCCGTGCAGGCTCGCCTGCATGGTGTCCCAGGTACGTGGTCCCAACCCCAAGAGACCGAAGTGAGGAGGTGAGCGCTGATTATCCTCAACCAATGTGGGGTCCCAGGTGCGTGGTCTCAGTCGAAGAAGGCGGAGGCAGGGACGAGGCCGGAGCACTTATCCTCACCCAATATGGGGTCCCAGGTGCGTGGTCTCAGCCCGAAGAAGGCGACGAGCCCGGAGCGCTTTTCCTCAACCAATATGTTCCAGGCGCGTGCTCGGAGGCGGGAGCGCTTATCCTCAACCAATATGGGGTCCCAGGTGCGTGCTCTCGCGGACCAGGCCGGCGCAATATGGGGTTCCAGGCGCGTGGTCTCAGCCCGAAGAAGGCGGAGGCGGGGAGCTGGGGTCCCAGGTGCGTGCTCGGCAGGGACGAGGCTGGAGCGCTTATCCTCAACCAATAAGGGGTCCCAGGTGCGAAAGCGGAGGCGGGGACGAGGCCGGAGCGCTTATCCTCGACCAACGTGGAGTCCCAGGTACGCGATCTCGGCCCGAAGAAGGGGAAGGTGGGGACGAGGGCGGAGCACTTATCCTCAACCGATATGGGGTCCTAGGTGCGTGCCCTACCGCAGCGTGCATCAGTGCCAGGTGCTTGAAGCCAGAAGAAGGCGAGCTTAAAGAGGAGGCGACAACAAGCTCGAAGGACTTACTCTCAGAATACGTTCTCGGCGCGTGGTCTCAACCTGAAGAAGACAGAGGCGGCGACAAGGCCGGATCGCCTATCCTCAACTGTCATGGGTTCCCAGGTTCGTGGTCTGGAGAGAACAGAAGCCGAGACCAGGCCGGAGTGCCTATCCTCAACCAATATGGGGTCCCAGGTGCGCGGTCTCAACTTGAAGAGGATGGAGGCGGGAACCAGGCCGGAGCACTTCTCCTCAACCAATATCGGGTCCGAGGTGCGTGGTCTCAACTCGAACAGGACGGAGGCGAGGAGAGGCCGGAGTGCCTATCCTCAACCAAGATAGGGTCCCAGGAGAAAAGAGAAAGGACGAGGCCTCAACCAATATGAGGTCCGAGGTGCGTGACCCCAGCAAAAAGACGACGGAGGCAAGGACAAGGCCGGGGTTCGAAGTGCGTGGCCCCAGGAAGCTCAAGCTGAAGAAGACAGAGGTAAGAACGAGGCCGGGAGGGCTTATCCTCAACCAATATAAGTTTCCGAGGCAAGGACAAGGCCGGGAGGGCCCATACTCAACCAACATGGGGTTCCGAGGTGTGGAAGTTCAAGCTGAAGAAGACAGAGGCAGGGACAAGGCCGGGGGGGAGCTCATCCTCAACCAGTATGGGTTTCCGAGGCGTGGAAGCTCAAGCTGAAGAAGGGCAAGGACAAGGCCGGGAGGGTGTATCATCAACCAATATGGGTTTCCAAGACGTGGGGTCTCAAGCTGCAGAAGCGCAACGACAAGGCCGGGAGGGTTTATACTCAACTAGTACGGGTTTCCGAGGCGTGGAAGCTCACAAGTCGAAGAAGACAGAGGCAAGGATAAGGCCGGGAGGGTTTATACTCAACCGATGTGGGTTTCCGGGGTATGGAAGCTCGAGCCGAAGAAGACAGAGGCAGAGACAAGGCGGGAAGGCTTATCCTCAACCGGTATGGGGTTCCGAGGTGTGGAAGCTCAAGCCGAAGAAGACAGAGGCAAGGACAATCCAAGGTATGGAAGCTTGAGCCTCAACCAATGTGGTTGCCGCGGTGTGTGGTCTCAGCGACAAGGCCGAGAGAACAATCCTCAACTAAAATGGGGTGTGGGGTCTTCCCCCCGCCCCCCCTCCCCCTGAGCGCCCTCCCCCCTCCTCCTGGGGCGGGAGGGTAGTGGGCAGACACCAAAAAACAATCCTCAATTGGTTCCCACCCCTCCCCGGCCCCTCCCCCACCCTCCCCCCTTCCCTCCCCCTCCCCACCCGGTGCCTCCTCCGGGGGGTGGCACGAGTCTCACGGGGGGTAGTGGGCAGACACCAAAAAACAATCCTCAACTAAAATGGGGTGTTGGTTCCCACCCCTCTCCGGCCCCCTCCCCCACCCTCCCCCCTTCCCTCCCCCTCCCCACCCGGTGCCTCCTCCGGGGGGGTGGCACGAGTCTCACGGGGGGTAGTGGGCAGACACCAAAAAACAATCCTCAACTAAAATGGGGTGTGGGTTCCCCTTCCCCCGCACCCCTCCCCCCCCTCCCTGCCCCCCCCCCACCCGGTGCCCCCTCCGGAGGGTCCCCCCCCTCCCTCCCCCCCTTCCCTCCCCCGCTCCCTTCCCTCCCCCTCGCTCTGCCCCTCCCACCCCCCTCCCAAACCCGCTCACTTAGACCGCAACCAGCGTGGAGTGCCAGGTGCGTATCCTCAAGAAGAAAAAGGCCGGCAGCGGGAACGAAGCTGTGCAGGCTCGCCTGCATGGTGTCCCAGGTACGTGGTCCCAACCCCAAGAAGACCGAAGTGAGGAGGTGAGCGCTGATTATCCTCAACCAATGCGGGGTCCCAGGTGCGTGGTCTCAGTCGAAGAAGGCGGAGGCAGGGACGAGGCCGGAGCACTTATCCTCACCCAATATGGGGTCCCAGGTGCGTGGTCTCAGCCCGAAGAAGGCGACGAGGCCGGAGCGCTTTTCCTCAATATGTTCCAGGCGCGTGCTCGGAGGCGGGAGCGCTTATCCTCAACCAATATGGGGTCCCAGGTGCGTGCTCTCGCGGACCAGGCCGGCGCAATATGGGGTTCCAGGCGCGTGGTGTCAGCCCGAAGAAGGCGGAGGCGGGGACGAGGCCGGAGCTGGGGTCCCAGGTGCGTGCTCGGCAGGGACGAGGCCGGAGCGCTTATCCTCGACCAACGTGGAGTCCCAGGTACGCGATCTCGGCCCGAAGAAGGTGAAGGTGGGGACGAGGGCGGAGCACTTATCCTCAACCGATATGGGGTCCTAGGTGCGTGCCCTACCGCAGCGTGCATCAGTGCCAGGTGCTTGAAGCCAGAAGAAGGCGAGCTTCAAGAGGAGGCGACAACAGGCTCGAAGGACTTACTCTCAGAATACGTTCTCGGCGCGTGGTCTCAACCTGAAGAAGACGGAGGCGGCGACAAGGCCGGATCGCCTATCCTCAACTGTCATGGGTTCCCAGGTTCGTGGTCTGGAGAGAACAGAAGCCGAGACCAGGCCGGAGTGCCTATCCTCAACCAATATGGGGTCCCAGGTGCGCGGTCTCAACTTGAAGAGGATGGAGGCGGGAACCAGGCCGGAGCACTTCTCCTCAACCAATATCGGGTCCGAGGTGCGTGGTCTCAACTCGAACAGGACGGAGGCGAGGAGAGGCCGGAGTGCCTATCCTCAACCAAGATAGGGTCCCAGGTGCATGGTTTCATCTTGGAGAAAAGAGAAAGGACGAGGCCTCAACCAATATGAGGTCCGAGGTGCGTGACCCCAGCAAAAAGACGACGGAGGCAAGGACAAGGCCGGGGTTCGAAGTGCGTGGCCCCAGGAAGCTCAAGCTGAAGAAGACAGAGGTAAGAACGAGGCCGGGAGGGCTTATCCTCAACCAATATAAGTTTCCGAGGCAAGGACAAGGCCGGGAGGGCCCATCCTCAACCAACATGGGGTTCCGAGGTGTGGAAGTTCAAGCCGAAGAAGACACAGGTAGGGACAAGGCCGGGGGGGGGCTCATCCTCAACCAGTGGAAGCTCAAGCTGAAGAAGGGCAAGGACAAGGCCGGGAGGGTGTATCATCAACCAATATGGGTTTCCAAGACGTGGGGTCTCAAGCTGCAGAAGCGCAACGACAAGGCCGGGAGGGTTTATCCTCAACTAGTACGGGTTTCCGAGGCGTGGAAGCTCACAAGTCGAAGAAGACAGAGGCAAGGATAAGGCCGGGAGGGTTTATACTCAACCGATGTGGGTTTCCGGGGTATGGAAGCTCCAGCCGAAGAAGACAGAGGCAGAGACAAGGCGGGAAGGCTTATCCTCAACCGGTATGGGGTTCCGAGGTGTGGAAGCTCAAGCCGAAGAAGACAGAGGCAAGGACAATCCAAGGTATGGAAGCTTGAGCCTCAACCAATGTGGTTGCCGAGGTGTGTGGTCTCAGCGACAAGGCCGAGAGAACAATCCTCAACTAAAATGGGGTGTGGGGTCTTCGTACGGGTTTCCGAGGCGTGGAAGCTCACAAATCGAAGAAGACAGAGGCAAGGATAAGGCCGGGAGGGTTTATACTCAACCGATGTGGGTTTCCGGGGTATGGAAGCTCCAGCCGAAGAAGACAGAGGCAGAGACAAGGCGGGAAGGCTTATCCTCAACCGGTATGGGGTTCCGAGGTGTGGAAGCTCAAGCCGAAGAAGACAGAGGCAAGGACAATCCAAGGTATGGAAGCTTGAGCCTCAACCAATGTGGTTGCCGAGGTGTGTGGTCTCAGCGACAAGGCCGAGAGAACAATCCTCAACTAAAATGGGGTGTGGGGTCTTCCCCCCGCCCCCCCTCCCCCTGAGCGCCCTCCCCCCTCCTCCTGGGGCGGGAGGGTAGTGGGCAGACACCAAAAAACAATCCTCAACTGAAATGGGGTGTTGGTTCCCACCCCTCCCCGGCCCCCTCCCCCACCCTCCCCCCTTCCCTCCCCCTCCCCACCCGGTGCCTCCTCCGGGGGGTGGCACGAGTCTCACGGGGGGTAGTGGGCAGACACCAAAAAACAATCCTCAACTAAAATGGGGTGTTGGTTCCCACCCCTCCCCGGCCCCCTCCCCCACCCTCCCCCCTTCCCTCCCCCTCCCCACCCGGTGCCTCCTCCGGGGGGGTGGCACGAGTCTCACAGGGGGTAGTGGGCAGACACCAAAAAACAATCCTCAACTAAAATGGGGTGTGGGTTCCCCTTCCCCCGCACCCCTCCCCCCCCTCCCTCCCCCCCCCCACCCGGTGCCCCCTCCGGAGGGTTCCCCCCCTCCCTCCCCCCCTTCCCTCCCCCGCTCCCTTCCCTCCCCCTCGCTCTGCCCCTCCCACCCCTCCCAAACCCGCTCACTTAGACCGCAACCAGCGTGGAGTGCCAGGTGCGTATCCTCAAGAAGAAAAAGGCCGGGAGCGGGAACGACGCCGTGCAGGCTCGCCTGCATGGTGTCCCAGGTACGTGGTCCCAACCCCAAGAAGACCGAAGTGAGGAGGTGAGCGCTGATTATCCTCAACCAATGTGGGGTCCCAGGTGCGTGGTCTCAGTCGAAGAAGGCGGAGGCAGGGACGAGGCCGGAGCACTTATCCTCACCCAATATGGGGTCCCAGGTGCGTGGTCTCAGCCCGAAGAAGGCGACGAGGCCGGAGCGCTTTTCCTCAACCAATATGTTCCAGGCGCGTGCTCGGAGGCGGGAGCGCTTATCCTCAACCAATATGGGGTCCCAGGTGCGTGCTCTCGCGGACCAGGCCGGCGCAATATGGGGTTCCAGGCGCGTGGTCTCAGCCCGAAGAAGGCGGAGGCGGGGACGAGGCCGGAGCTGGGGTCCCAGGTGCGTGCTCGGCAGGGACGAGGCCGGAGCGCTTATCCTCAACCAATAAGGGGTCCCAGGTGCGAAAGCGGAGGCGGGGACGAGGCCGGAGCGCTTATCCTCGACCAACGTGGAGTACCAGGTACGCGATCTCGGCCCGAAGAAGGTGAAGGTGGGGACGAGGGCGGAGCACTTATCCTCAACCGATATGGGCTCCTAGGTGCGTGCCCTACCGCAGCGTGCAGCAGTGCCAGGTGCTTGAAGCCAGAAGAAGGCGAGCTTCAAGAGGAGGCGACAACAAGCTCGAAGGACTTACTCTCAGAATACGTTCTCGGCGCGTGGTCTCAACCTGAAGAAGACAGAGGCGGCGACAAGGCCGGATCGCCTATCCTCAACTGTCATGGGTTCCCATGTTCGTGGTCTGGAGAGAACAGAAGCCGAGACCAGGCCGGAGTGCCTATCCTCAATCAATATGGGGTCCCAGGTGCGCGGTCTCAACTTGAAGAGGATGGAGGCGGGAACCAGGCCGGAGCACTTCTCCTCAACCAATAGCGGGTCCGAGGTGCGTGGTCTCAACTCGAACAGGACGGAGGCGAGGAGAGGCCGGAGTGCCTATCCTCAACCAAGATAGGGTCCCAGGTGCATGGTTTCATCTTGGAGAAAAGAGAAAGGACGAGGCCTCAACCAATATGAGGTCCGAGGTGCGTGACCCCAGCAAAAAGACGACGGAGGCAAGGACAAGGCCGGGGTTCGAAGTGCGTGGCCCCAGGAAGCTCAAGCTGAAGAAAACAGAGGTAAGAACGAGGCCGGGAGGGCTTATCCTCAACCAATATAAGTTTCCGAGGCAAGGACAAGGCCGGGAGGGCCCATCCTCAACCAACATGGGGTTCCGAGGTGTGGAAGTTCAAGCTGAAGAAGACACAGGTAGGGACAAGGCCGGGGGGGGCTCATCCTCAACCAGTATGGGTTTCCGAGGCGTGGAAGCTCAAGCTGAAGAAGGGCAAGGACAAGGCCGGGAGGGTGTATCATCAACCAATATGGGTGTCCAAGACGTGGGGTCTCAGGCTGCAGAAGCGCAGCGACAAGGCCGGGAGGGTTTATCCTCAACTAGTACGGGTTTCCGAGGCGTGGAAGCTCACAAATCGAAGAAGACAGAGGCAAGGATAAGGCCGGGAGGGTTTATACTCAACCGATGTGGGTTTCCGGGGTATGGAAGCTCCAGCCGAAGAAGACAGAGGCAGAGACAAGGCGGGAAGGCTTATCCTCAACCGATATGGGGTTCCGAGGTGTGGAAGCTCAAGCCGAAGAAGACAGAGGCAAGGACAATCCAAGGTATGGAAGCTTGAGCCTCAACCAATGTGGTTGCCGAGGTGTGTGGTCTCAGCGACAAGGCCGAGAGAACAATCCTCAACTAACATGGGGTGTGGGGTCTTCCCCCCGCCCCCCCTCCCCCTGAGCGCCCTCCCCCCTCCTCCTGGGGCGGGAGGGTAGTGGGCAGACACCAAAAAACAATCCTCAACTGAAATGGGGTGTTGGTTCCCACCCCTCCCCGGCCCCCTCCCCCACCCTCCCCCCCTTCCCTCCCCCTCCCCACCCGGTGCCTCCTCCGGGGGGTGGCACGAGTCTCACGGGGGTAGTGGGCAGACACCAAAAAACAATCCTCAACTA